AGGTCATTCTCCTCCGGTGAACTTCGAGGTCAATGGGCGGCACTACAACAAGGGGTACTACCTAGCTGATGGCATCTATCTGAGATGGTCTACATTTGTGAAGATTATCTCAAACGCCGTGCCAGGAGGCAAGAAGTCCCACTTTGCCAAGGTGCGGGAGGCTTGCAGGAGGATGTCGAGCGGGCATTTGGTGTGCTCCAATCTCGATTTGCTGTTGTCCGGTACCCTGCTCAGACCTGGTCGAAAGATCAAATGTGGGAGATCATGACTTGTTGTGTCATCTTGCACAGCATGGTCATCGAGAGCGAGTAGGAAGAGCTAGTGTTTGACACTGAACCATACTACAGGCAGGGTCCTCTAGCCGAAGTTGATCACCAGCTACCGGCAATCTGGACTGCCTACCTCAGTATGCGTCAGGAGATCCGAGACCCACAAGTGCATCATCAACTGCAGCAGGATCTGGTGGAGCACCTATGGAGGATCAAGGGCGACGCCGGGCTCGAAGTGTGATGAAATATGAGTTTTTATTTGTTGAACTATATAATTTGTATTGAACTATTTGTTGTTGCACTATTTTGTTGAATTATTTGATTTTCTATGATGAACTATGTGATAACAAAATTATTTATGCTGAGAATTCAATGCCGAACCACGCTGAATATGGGCCGTTTCTCGCAGATATCGGGCCATTTTTCTATTTATCTGGGCCGTAAAGCGGTCGCGAATGGGCCGATATCGGCGGCTAGGGGCGACCTGGGGGCGACGGCTGGATGCCCAACCGCCCCCAGCGCCGATTCTACCGCCGGATCGTCCCCAGGCAGCGATTTTTATGTCTCCTGAGGGGGGAGGGGGGGCAACGGCTGGAGATGCTCTAAAACGATTAGGGTAGCTGACACCCGTCGACGTTGCCGCCGGTGTGCCTCATCCCGGGTGGCCTTAAGGCATCTCTATCTGATCTTCTAAATTTGAGAGTAAGTGGTGGATTAATCGTTAGTGAACTATTTTTTTTTAATTTTGAACATTTTTAGCCGTTTCATAAACTTAGTGAAGTACAAAACCAATTCGAAGCAAAGAAACACAAATTCAATTCAAAGAAGTACTTATTCAGAAAAACTTAGTGTAAAACTTACTAATTTAACCAAAACTACGTGTAGAACTTACTAATTTTAATGGCTACCTTTGGCGATCTCTTTCCACTCGACTCTGTACAACCCACCAATCATGGGGTCTAGGCCTTGGCCGTCGTCTGGGTCGTCAAAGATGTTGTTGCCGCCGAAGATGCTGGTGACTTCGTTCCTGCCTTTAGACGCACATATCAGATGTCGTACTCGTGGGCGGCCTGCTCGGCGGAGTGGAAGCTCCCAAGCCACAACTTATTGTGGGTGTGCCAGTTCATAATCTCGGCCACCGACATCCCCAAGGCATGCTGCCGCTCACCGACCGTACGACCTTTGTGGCAGTGATGGAGGGAGCTTAGGGAAGTCGGCCAGGCGGTTGTGGGAGGCAAATGGGGCAACACGACTGGAGGAAGCGTCGCAGCGGCGGGAGGTAGATGGGTCAATGCCGCGCTCGTGGTGGCGCGAATCCGCACTGCAAATGGGCGACGGGGAACGAGGGCCGCGGGATCCAGCCATATCAGCGCGGGCGGAGGTGCGTGGATCGCCGGCGAGGTGTGGGCGCCAGAGGATTGGGTTGGGGGAGGCGGAGAGGTGTGCACGTCTTTTACTCAGTGGAGGAGTACCTTTAGTAGCTCGGGGTGGAGTAATTTTTTTACTTCACTAACCGCTTTACGTGTTCGATAGGTCTCGGTTAGACTACTAAAATTGGAATTTTACTTCTCTAACCGTTTTTAGGGATCAGCTAGAGATGCCCTTAGGGCCATGGAGAGGCGCGGTGGACCCAGGTACTTGCTGGTGGGAGGGATGTTGCTCTGTTTTTAGTTACAATTTTGAGTTTGGGTAGGGTCTGTGTCCCACTCAGCAAGCCTAGGTGAGGTGGCAGCGTCTCTTTGAAGATGAAATAAGGTGTTTCTGACTAGCTTTCGTCCCGTTGATGCATCTAGTATCGTGGGAGGGCGCATGAATGTGTGTTTTTGATGTAATATATCCGCGGATAAATAGGGTATGGCGTTGGACGATAAAATGCGCCCGGACAACTTTTTTTTTTTGACAGAACATCTCCTCCTCTATTCAGAAGCAAGCACAGTGGTATCGTTTACAAGAAAAGAGAGCACCGCAGGAGGCGCTGAATCCATCCAGCAACTAGAAGGAGAAAACTTAACTAGTCTAGCAAGCTCATGGGCTACTTTATTACTCTCTCTATTACAATGATCATAAGTAACATGGTTGAAATCAGAGGACATGAAGAAACAATCGTCAATAATAGCAGAAGCAACCGAAGAAGAGTTGCCGTTTTTTAGGGCTTCCACTAACCCCAAGCTGTCCCAGCTTACCACAATCCTGCTACATCCGACTGTTCTCGCAAGGTTCAGCCCAAACCTGACAGCCAGAGCCTTTGCAGTGAAGGAATCAAAACAAATGCCTATTTTTTCATTCGCCGCAGCAATGAATTGTCCACTTTGATCACGAATGATTGCCCCCACGGATCCTTCAAGTAGATCTTGATCAAACCCCGCATCAACATTTAATTTCATGTATCCCTTTGGTGGCTTTTCCCAAATGCCCGGCCGGAGTTTGGCTTTTGGTGAATATGCGATGCTGAAATTTGCGCCAGTCCTCGAACAGCTAGGGCGATCCGAGTGGGTGTTTGAATTTCTTCTCCATGGTAAACTTTACGGTGTTCAAACCACAAATACCAAGCTGCGGTGACTACCATCTCTCTCGCTTTTGGAAATCCCAAGATATAGAATTCCGTATCTTCCATATGCAACAGCTCGTGCATCACTTCCTCTCCAGATTTGTATTTTGTGCACTTCTTCTTTACTATCTAACACAGCCCCAATTGTCTCTAAACCTGTACTGATCTTGGACAATCAAACAGTAAGTGTTGTATACTGTCAGGTCCCAGCCTGCATTCTGGGCACTGAATTTTAACCTTCATGTGCTTAGAAGCAAGGACTGCTCGACATGGGAGAGTAGCATGTAGGAGCCGCCATGTAAATATTTTAATTTTTGCTGGGCATTCTAAGCTCCAAATCAAATTCCACTTCTTATCAGGTGATGATGGACCCGCATTATTATGATTCAGAGCACCAAACTGGAAATTCCATTCAATTTGATAAGCTGATCGCACTGAGAAGATACCGTTCTTGGTAGGGCTCCATGCAATAAAATTTAACATTTCATATAAAGGTAAGGGTATAGCCAGGATCCTGTGAACGTCCACATTCCAGAATGTTTGGTTCACCAACTGTATATCCCAATCTCCAGTCACCGGATCAATGAGGTCGCAAACTCGGGATATTAAGTTACTACCCCTGATAGTTAGCACTTTTTTCGTTGGCGATTGAGGAATCCACGAATCCTCCCATATATTCACCTTTTGACCACCTCCAATCCTCCAAATATACCCACGCCTCAATGTGTCTACCCCGGCCATAATGCTTTGCCATGTGAAAGATGATTTTGGCTTTAAAGTTGCCTCCAGTAGGTTTCCTTCTGGGTAGTACTTAGCTTTCAAAATAGTTGCACATAATGAATCTGGGCTATCAATAAGACGCCAGGCTTGTTTTGCAAGAAGTGCAAGGTTGAAACAGTGGATGTCCTTAAATCCCATACCTTCATATTTCTTTGGTATGCACATCTTTCGCCACGCGAACCAATGCATCTTTCTATTCGTTGCATCATCACCCCACCAAAACCGAGACATCGCATCTGTAATTCCTTTACAATTTTTTTAGGAATTTTGAAGACAGACATCGCGTAAGTCGGTATGGCTTGAGCTATGGATTTCAAGAGCACTTCTTTTCCTCCAGAGGAAAGGCATCTCTCCTTCCACCCCATTAATCTCTGAACCAATCTATCAATCAGGTATTGGAAATTATCACTTTTATCAACACCCAGAGTAGATGGAAGACCCAAGTATCTATCATTCAATGCCTCGGTCATAATATCTAGAATTGAGCAAACTTCGGCCTTAACCAGTGGCGGAGCTTAGTGAAGATCAAGCTAGGCCATCGCCCCCCCTCACAGGAGATTTGTTCATATTATCATGAGTAAATTGCCCATGGATTCATAGAAATCTAGCCTAAACCTGATGTTGGTTGCCCCCCCTCCCTCCCCAACCCATTTGCCCCTCCTAAGATGTGTCCCAAGCTCCGCCACTGGCCTTAGCATTAGTCTCCGTACTTGGGTTGAAGAAAGTACTCGATTTTTGCACACTGACAAGTTAGCCTGAAGCAGAACAATAAAGATCTAGAATTGATTTTTGCGCCCGGACAAACTTGATCCGGACCTTTGCGAAAGGGTAGAGTGTGCGTGTTCGAGACGCCTAACTTTCAGCCATCCATCAGGTGGTTCGGTCCGTCTAGACATTCCTACCTGGCCTGGTCCGGTCGACACCTCAGAGGAACAGTAGCAGCAACCAACCGGCTTCTTTCCCTTATCATCAATAATATTCAATAATTTTCCTCTAAAAATCAATAATCAGCAAAGACAAACTCGCCTGAAAAAGCTACAGTATAGTTCTGTAGGAAATCTAGCAGAAATCCAATACGGAGCGCTCTTGCCGGCCGGCCATTTCGTCGGACAGTGGAAGTGTGGCCTTCACAAGCGGTAAAGGGAGACAATGGAGACTGCTGAAGCGAGACAATGGAAAGTGAGACCAGCATATGCATGGCTAACCTTTCTAATCTCTTCCCACCACGGGCGGGCGGCGCGTGCGCGTGCTTGTTTGGTGCGTCGCGTGGCGTGGGTTTGCAGCGGCGAGCGACCCACCGCCGGCCGAACGGGCCATAAATGGCCGACCGTTAGGCGCTACATTTGGCAGCAGGCGCACGACACGGATCACACGACCGCGGACGAGGTAGTGCAGTGGGCGCCATGGCGTCAGTGGGAGTGGGAGTGGTCGCCGACAGCGCAGCGCCACTGCTCGTCGCCGCCGTCGTCGCCGTCTTCCTGGTCGGCACGCTGGTCAGGAGGCATGGCGGGAATGCCAAGCACGGCCGCCTCCCCCCGAGCCCCGTGGCGCTGCCGCTCATCGGCCACCTCCACCTGATCCGCGAGCCCCCGCACCGCGCGTTCCACCGCATCCTCGCCCGCCACGGCCCGCTCGTCTACCTCCGCCTCGGCCCCTCCACGCACTGCGTCGTCGTCGGCTCCGCCGACGCCGCCCGCGACGTGCTCAAGTTCGAGGGCAGCATCCCGGAGCGGCCGCAGACGGCCGTCACGCGGCAGCTCGCCTACGGCTCCTCCGGCTTCGCCTTCGCGCCCTACGGCCCGCACTGGCGCTTCATGAAGCGCCTCTGCATGTCCGAGCTGCTCGGCCCGCGCACCATCGACCTGCTCCGCCCCGTCCGCGCCGCCGAGCTCGCCGGCGTCATGGGCGCGGCCGCCGCGGCGGCCGCGAGCGGCGAGGCGCTGGACGTGAGCGCGCAGCTCATCCGGCTGTCGAACAACTCCATGATGCGGATGGTCGCCAGCGCGCTGCCTGGCGACATGGCCGACCTGGCCCGCGACTGCGCCAAGCAGGTGGCCGAGCTGGTCGGCGCCTTCAACCTCGAGGACTACGTCGCGCTGTTCCGCGGCTGGGACCTGCAGGGGCTGTCCCGGCGGACCCGCGGCGTGCACGCCCGGTTCGACGCGCTGCTCGAGTCCATCATCCGGGCCAAGGAGAAGGAGTGGCGCGACGGTGCCGACGGGGGCAAGACCAAGGACCTGCTCGACATCCTCATGGACGCCGCCGCGGACCCGGCCGCCGAGGTCAAGCTCACCCGAGACAACATCAAGGCCTTAGTCCTCGTGAGTACTCCCTTGTCCTCTCCTCCCTGTTGTGCATCCATCCGAGTGAGGTGAGCTTGAACCCATTGTGTTGAATGAAACGAACAGGACATCTTCACGGCCGGGTCGGACACGACGGCGACGACCGTGGAGTGGATGCTGGCGGAGCTGCTGACGCACCCGGACTGCATGCAGAAGCTGCGGGCGGAGCTGGACGCCGTGGTGGGGAGGTCCCGGGTGGTGGGCGAGCCGGACGTGGCGCAGATGCCGTACCTGCAGGCGGTGCTCAAGGAGACGCTGCGGCTGCGCCCGCCGGCGGTGATCGCGCACCGGGAGGCGGTGGAGCCGATCCGGGTGCGCGGCTACACCATCCCGGCCGGGACGTCCGTCTTCTTCAATATCTACTCCATCGGGCGCGACGCGGCGTGGTGGGAGCACCCGCTGGAGTTCCGGCCGGAGCGGTTCATGCCGGGCGGGGCCGGCGAGGGCGTGGACCCCAAGGGGCAGCGCCCGCAGCTGATGCCGTTCGGGAGCGGGCGGCGCGCGTGCCCCGGCATGGGCATGGCCCTGCTGGCCGTGCCGGCGTTCCTGGCGGCCCTGGTGCAGTGCTTCGACTGGGAGGTGCCCGCCCCGCCGCTGGACATGGAGGAGGGGGAGGGGCTCGTCATCCCGAGGAAGCAGCCGCTCCTGCTCCGGCCCACGCTGCGCCTCGGCCATCTGCCCCTGCCCTAGATGACTCCATTGATGCACCATGCATCCACCCAGCTCCTAGGGCTAGGATCTGATCAACTCGTATCGAGCATTTCATCTCGTGATCCAGTGTGTGTGCATGCTGTGCTCGCCATGGTGGAAAAACAACCGAGTTTTCTGTGCGTACTGTTTTGTATTGTACCCTGAGTTATGTGTTCTACTTGTTTCTGTTGTGCGTGCAATATGCTAGATTTTCAAAAATTTCAATCATCTCATTACGTTGCAACATTCACTAGCTAACTGGCTAGTGCCTGCAACATAACACAACGCTAAAACCTGCAAGTAACCCGTAGATCCACATTAAACCTGGAGAGGTTATCTTATCACAGACTCCCATGTTGAAATATATTGGCCACATCTCTCCATCCGACTTTTGAAGCTACTGGCTGGCTGGAGTATGAATTCACTATGATATCCGAGTCAAGAGATCTTTAATTGAAGAACCTGCCAACACATTATTAAAATAACGGAAATGTTAACGCCATATATATGATGTAGTTGGTTCTGGTAAGTTTCCCGGATACTTGGGAGTTGAGGCTGAAGGTGGTTACGGTTGAATAGAAACATAAGACTAGATAGAAGATTAAACAGAGAGAACTCCTAACTAATCTATGGAAAACACTATCCCTCAGCTGGCCGACTGATGCACGCGGAGCGTCCGCCGCCTGCGTAGCCGTCAGATCGATTTTGATTAAGTGCTCACGCTGGCCACCAGTCCCATGCAGGCAGTTTTTTTGCAACAGGCGTATTGTTTCACAAGGTTTCTGCAACAGAGGTCTTGTTTCAGAAAAAAACGGTACGATGGTGAAGTTTTTTTCAGCAACGGGGTCTAGTTTTTGAAAGTCTCTGCAACATAGGTCTTGTTTCAAAAACAAAAAAATGGTTTGATGGTGAAGATTTTTTCCTCTGCAACATGGCTCTTGTTTCAGAAGCATATCCCCAGTTGCAGAAAGCGTCGGAGGAGCGCCCGGTCTTAGAGCATACAAGGCCAAGCATTGCAACACTGAAAGGATCGATATGGTTGACTAGAGGGGGGGGGTTGAATAGGCAACTACCAATTTTTACTTTTCTTTACCAAATTAAACTTTGCATCAAAGTAGGTTGTCTAGATGTGCAACTAGGTGGGCAACCTATATGATGCAATAACAACAAGCATACAAGCAAGCAAGAGAAGCAACACTAAAGAGCTTGCACAAGTAAAGGTAAGAGATAACCAAGAGTGGATCCGGTGAAGACGAGGATGTGTTACCGAAGTTCCTTCCTTTTGAGGGGAAGTACATCTCCGTTAGAGCGGTGTGGAGGCACAATGCTCCCCAAGAAGCCACTAGGGCCACCGTATTCTCCTCACGCCCTCACATAATGCAAGATGCTGTGATTCCACTATTGGTGCCCTTGAAGGCGGCAACCGAACCTTTACAAACAAGGTTAGGACAATCTGCACAACTTAATCGGAGGCTCCCAACAAAACCACGAAGCTTCACCATAATGGAATATGGCTCCGTGGTGACCTCAACCGTCTAGGGTGCTCAAACACCCAAGAGTAACAAGATCTGCTAGGGATGACTGGGGGAATCGAAAATCCCTTGGTGGAAGTGTAGATCGGGGCCTTCTCAACCACTCCCGAGCAAAACAAGTTTGATTGGCTAGAGAGATAGATCGGGCGAAAATGGAGCTTGGAGTATTTAATGGAGCTTGAGCAATAAATGGAGCTTGAGGGGGGAAGAGGTAGGTCAAAGGGAAGAAGGGGACCCCTTTTTATAGTGGGGGCAACAATCCAACCGTTGCCCCTCACCAACCAGCCCCGCACAGGGCGGTACTACCGCTAAGAGGGGGCGGTACTACCGCTAGGTCAGCGGTACTGCCGCGCAGAGGAGACTAGACAGCCCAGCGGTACTACGGCAGCGGGGTCACGGGCGGTACTACCGCTGTGGAGCGGAACTACAGCTTGTGACCCTTCGGCCGTACTACCGCTGGTAGTGCAGTACTACCGCTAGGACACTGAAGAGAGAGAGAGAGAATCTCTCCAAAGATGCTGAGGACGAGGCGGTGGTGCCAAGCACCCCAGCGGTACTACTGCTGTGGAGTCACGGGCGGTACTACCGCTGTGGAGCGGTACTGCCGCTTGTGGCTCCTCAGCGGTACTACGGCTGGGTTGCGCGGTACTACCGCTGGGACCCAGACAGGACAAAGAAAAGCGGAGAGATCTCTTCAATGGAATGGAAAAGCTCGGAGGGTGAGAAGCTGATGTGTACGTGTTGATTCCACCCATGCAATACCCCAGCAGACCCCCTCTTGATAGTACGGTGTCCTCTACGCAACTAGTCCACCGAGAGAGAAAGAGCTACACCGTCTTGAAGGACATTCCGAAGGGAAGAAAACGTATCGTGCCAGGGGTGAATCTGTGAACTATTCAAAAGACATGATTAGTCCGCAAACATGTTGTCATCAATCACCAAAACTACCTTGAGAGAGATATGCCGTAACAATCTCCCCCTTTTTGGTGGATTGATGACAACTAGGGATTTGCGCAAGGAAAAGAAATAAATGTAAGAAAACTAAGAACTACAAAATATAGAAGGGCTCCCCCAGAATGTGTGCACCTAGTTAGAGGAGCATTCGGAAAGCAAGACACACACATCCGAATCAACACTCCCCCTATATTTTATAGTCCAACAATTCTAAGCACAATTCTAAGCACAAGATATATGAGAGAAGAGTATAAAACAGGATAAGCATGCAACTCATAATAAACTACAGTACTGAATAGACATAAGTAATAAGGTAGTGATAGGGAGCATATGTCTCACACCATATGTCTAGAACTCCAAACCAAACCAAACAAAGACACCGAGAGAACACACAAGAAAACACAAGACGACACACTCAAAGCACGGCAACACAAATCCCTACACTCTCTCCCCCTTTGGCAGTGAGACACCAAAAAGGGAAAAGAGCGACGCTACAACTCCAGGTGATGGCAAGCTGAGGATCTCGAATCATCATATCTCAGCGTGATCGTCTGCATCTCCGTCGTTGGTTGAAAACTGCTCGGCGTCGGAGTCGGTCCAAGGGCAGTGCTGATGAATCCACTCCTCCTCTTTAGTGATCTGACCCTCAGATGCACTGGCAACTGTCGCTCCCATCTGACGCATGAGCTCCTTGTGGCGCACCCTGGCATGCTTCTCCGCCACATGAGTCATGTACTGACCATGAGACTCCATGCAGAAAAGCTTCTTCAACTTGTTTTTAAGCTTCTTCGCCCACGAGGGTTCAGCACTAGAGGGCCCAATATCCTCCTCGTGATCATTAGTGGCTGCCCCACCCTCGGTCTCCATGGCAGCAGCAGCAGCAGACGGACCCCCGGATTGAGGTGCTGGGGGGACCCAATTGTCCTTCTTCCTCAGACGCTTGATCTCATGGGAAACCAAGTCTCCAGTTTCCAGCAACACTCGGGGATAGATCTGTGCCCAGGCCCTCTCAATGAGCCTCATGATGAATGGACCATATATCGGGCACTTGCGCTCAGACACGGCAGAGAGAAGTTCATACCACGTGACATGAGAAATATCCAGGCTCTCTCCAGTGCTTGCTTCCTTCTCATGCTGACAGAAAAGGAGCATGTCCATGAGGTAAGAGTGGACCATATCCAGATTCCCGATCCGAGGGAAGAGAGTCTCACGAAAGATGCGATGAAGAATGTCCAGATACGGAGACAACTCATAGGTTTTCTTCTCAGTCATTGGGTGAACTTTCACAATGCAGTGGGGCCAAAGGGCTTGCTTGTGGATGGACGTAGCATTGCGGTGAGGGCGGAAACCGACAGGAGTCTCAAGCCCGTGATCCACCACATCAAGTAACTCCATGAAAGCCTTCCACTTGACGGAAAGCAGCTTGCCATTGGTCATCCATGTCAGAGTTTTGTCGACATCCGTCCCAAGATGGACGGTGGCATAGAATTGAGCCACCAAATCTGCATCGAAATCCTTGTTGAATTGCATGATCCTGAGAATGTTCAGCTGAGTGCACATCTGAAGGGCTTCGCCAAAGTACTCTGGGTCCTTCTTCATAGCATCAGTGTCAATGGAGCAAACATCAACAAAGAGATTCTTCTTGTCCTTGATCACATCAAAATAGATGGCAAACTGAAATCGATTCCAGAACGGGCGGTTGACCAAAGTGGGTTCTTGGTCCACCGCATAGGGATTGCGGTGACGCTTTTCCCAAAACTCCTTGTTGGTCATCTCAGTCACAGTCTTCCCTTTTGGCTTGTTGGCGGATCTCTTCGTGTGCTGAGGAGGTGGAGGAACACTTGCAGATGCACTTGCTGGAGGCAGTTGGGTGCTAGAGGAACCACCGGCTGGCTCAGAGGTGCGGTAGCCTTTTGATGTAGCACGCCCGGGGTTGATACGGTGAGCTTGATGCTTAGAATGGTCATCACCTGGAGCCAAACACAAGAACACGCAAAACAACCAGAAAGAATGAGCATAAGCCAACAAACACAACAAAAAGGATCAAGGTAAGGTAGGAATATGATGGAATTTGGCATGCAGCGGTAGTACCGTGACATGCCCGTAGTAGTACCGCCCCAAAGAGAGCGGTAGTACCGCTCGAGGTCAAGTGGTAGTACCGCTCCAACGAGAGCGGTAGTATTGCTCGAGGCGGAGAAACAGTAGTTTCCTACATCACGAGGCGGAGAAACAGCGGTTTCCTACTACCGTGGTCAGATCCGGCACTACCGGCCTGCCAAATTCAAAAATATTCCTACCAAACTCTAATCGAGATAGTCTAGTTGCCTTCTCCAACCAACTCAAGCCTAGATTTAGCCAAAAATCTAGAGATGCTACCACCATTGCCCCTAAGAAACAAGATCTAAAAATGAGACAAAAGGAGAGAAGGAACGGGGGCAATACCGGCATCCATGGCAAGAGAACGGGGTGGGGATCGACTCCACCAAAGGAAATGGAGAGGGACGCCCCGGAGAT